ATTGGTCTGTTCATATTTTCTATTTCTTCCTTGTTCAGTCTTGTAAGATTATACCTTTATAAGAATTTGTCCATTTCTTCCAGGTTGTCCATTTTATTGGCATAGAGTTGCTTGTAGTAGTCTCTTAGAATGCTTTGTATTTCTGCAGTGTCTGTTGTAAATTCTCCTTTTTCATTTCTAATTTTATTGATTTGAGTCCTTTCCCTCTTTTCCTTGGTGAGTCTGGCTAAAGGTTTATCAATTTTGTTTATCTTCTCAAAGAACCAGCTTTTAGTTTTATTGATCTTTGCTATTGTTTTCTTTGTTTCTATTTCTTTTATTTCTGCTCCTGATCTTTATGATTTCTTTCCTTCCACTAACTTTGGGTTTTGTTTGTTCTTCTTTTTCTAGTTCCTTTAGGTGTAAGGTTAGATTGTTTACTTGAGATTTTTCTTATTTCTTGAGATAGGATTGTATTGCTATAAAATTCCTTCTTAGAACTTTGCTTTTGCTGCATCCCATATGTTTTGGATGGTCGTGTTTTCGTTGTCATTTGTCTCTAGGTATTTTTTGATTTCCTCTTTGATTTCTTCACTGATCTCTGGGTTATTTAGTAATGTGTTGTTTAGCCTCCATGTGTTGTTTTTTTTTTATGTTTTTCCCCTGTAATTTATTTCTAATCTCATAGCGTTGTGGTTGGAAAAGATGCTTGATATGATTTCAGTTTTCTTAAATTTACCAAGGCTTGATTTGTGACCCAAGATGTGGTTGATCCTGTAGAATATTCCATGTGCACTTGAGAAGAAAGTGTAGGGACTTCCCTGGTGGCACAGTGGTTAAGAATCCGCCTGCCAATGCAGGGGACACGGTTCGATCCCTAGTCCAGGAAGATCCCACATGCCGCACAGCAACTAAGCTTGTGCACTACAACTACTGAGCCTGTGAGCCTCAACTGCTGAAGCTCTTGTTTCACACCTACTGAAGCCCGTGTGCCTAGAGGCTGTGCTCTGCAACAAAGAGAAGCCACTGCAGTGAGAAGTCTGTGCACCTCAACGAGGAGCAGCCCCCGCTCTCTGAAACTAGACAAAGGCTGCGTGCAGCAACGAAGACCCAACACAGCCAAAAATAAAAAATAAATAAATAAATAAATTTATAAAAAATAAAAAAATGAAAGTGTAATCTGCTGTTTTCGGATGGAATGTCCTATAAGTATCAATTAAATCTGTCTGGTCTGTTGTGGCATTTAAAGCTTGTGTTTCCTTATTAATTTCCTATCTGGATGATCTGTCCATTGGTGTAAGTGAGGTGTTAAAGTGCCCCACTATTACTGTTACTGTCAATTCCCTCATTTATAGCTGTTAGCATTTGCCTTATATATTGAGGTGCTCCTGTGTTGGGTGCACATATATTTATAATTGTATATCTTCTTCCTGGATTGATCCCTTGACCATTATGTACTGTTCTTCCTTTTCTCTTGTACCATTCTTTATTTTAAAGTCTATTTTATCTGATATGAGTATTGCTACTCCAGCTTTCTTTTGATTTCCATTTACATGGAATATCTTTTTCCATCCCCTCAGTTTCAGTCTGTATGTGTCCCTAGGTCTGAAGTGGGTCTCTTGTAGACAGCATATATATGGGTCTTGTTTTTGTATCCATTCAATGAGCCTCTGTCTTCTGGTTGGAGCATTTAATCCATTCACCTTTAAGGTGATTATTGATACGTTTGTTCCTAATACCATTTTCTTAATTGTTTTGGGTTTGTTTTTCTAGGTCCTTTTCTTGTGTTTCCCACTTAGAGAAGTTCCTTTA